TATCATTATTACAATCATCCATTACTATTGGCTCATCAAAATTTTTTTTGGAATCTTGTTTTTGTTTGTTTTTATTAGTTTGATTTATATACCATCCCATTTTTGCCAACTTTGCAACACATTCTGGCTTCAGTCTGTTACGTCATCCTGTATGAATATTAACAAAAAGAGACCAGATTCTTTCAGATGTAGCAGAGTTTGGTGGAATTGCAAACAGCCTAGAAGCAAAAGCTGATAGGTTTGGACACAAAGTTAAAACACTTTTCCAAAATCTAGTTGGGTCTTTTGTTATTGATGGTTGCCATAATGAATTAGATTTGAAATAACTTTCTTTATACAAATAGTTATGCTATTCATCAATGAATTGATTGCCATCCAGATCAGAATATAAAGAACAAAATAAATTGTAGGCAAACTCTTGAATTCTTAATGTATGTACTGGATTAATCCCATTGCCATGATGAAAGGGATGTAAATACCATGTGACTAAAAAAATAGGATCATAAATTTTTTTCCATCTTTTTTCAATTTCTTGTCCCAAATTAATTTTGATTGAATCAAGATTAGATGGAATTTTCTCAATTACACCTCTCAGCCATGCCCAAGATGCAATAACATGACCTAAGTTAGCATGTTCAGATTCCAATATCTTTATAATAAATTCATATGGTTTCAGCACATTGATAAAGATGTCTAATGCTTCCCAAAAAGTTTGGCCTTCAATTGTATTAACAACCTTTCTATCATTATTTTTTTGGTAATTAGAAGATCTGGATGTGCTATTGCCATAATCTAAAATTAAATAATATTTATTAATTTGTTAAAGGTTGCAACATTTTCAAGAAATAAAATATCAACTTACCTTTAATTGGTTTTTATATTTAAGAATTTGTTCTGCTACTTTTATAAAAGATCCCCATCTAGTGATACATGGATATTGAAACCTAAGATTATAATTTTCTGCCAATTCTCTTAGTTTTGAGATTGCAAGATTTGAGCTACAAAAGTGTACTATTATAATAAAAAATTTCTTTATGAAAACTCCAAAATAAGAATTTTTTTTCACAATGGATTGTACAAGCAAATTTGTTTGATGTGCCATGCAGGGTGTTGTTATAACTTTTGATTTTATGTCTGAATCCTAGATTATTAAAAAAATAAAAATAAATAAAAGCAAGTAAACAAGTAAACTAATAAATTTGTTCTTCAAAAAAATTTTTTTTACTTCTCTAATAAGCCTTTGTGACTTCACAAATTCAGGTCCACTATCACTTGCAAAAGCTATCCATTTATCCAAACCTATTTCTTTGTATTTATTGAAAATAATTATTCCTGTAAGACGTTGACTAGAAAAATCTTCTGTTTTCCACAAGTGACTAATTCTTTTTTCATTTGTTAAAGCAAAACTAATTATACTATGTTGAGACACATCTGTCCAGCCATCTCCTGATAATGTTAAAAATTTTGATTCAGCAACAAAATTTTCAATTTGAGATTCTATGTTAGTATGCACATTCTCTAAAATTTCTGTACTTAGAGTTTTCCTTGATGGTAATTTGTAAGATGGCCTTATGGTGTTAAAAAGCTTGATTACTTCAGGATTTTCTACAAAAGAAAATGGCACATTTGCAGAAATAAATGCATATAATAATTGCTTATTAACAGTATTTCTTTCATCTATTGAAATCTTTCTATCAACAAAACTTTTAATACTAGATTGTGCAGAAAAAACAGACATAATGTCAGAATTGTAGCCTAAATAATGAAAAGAATATTTGTAAATTATTAATTAAAATAATAAATATTAAATTATCAAAAATTTTCTACCATCATTTAATTCAGTCATCTCTTGAGAGTCATTATCATCATTTTTGGTTCTTTTTTTAGGAAGCTCAAATAAATCAGAAAACTCTGCACAAAGGTCTTCATCAACTTCAGGACATTCCTGCAGATGTTTTGTCATAATTTTATTAACACCACGAACACTTAAATTGCAATAAATACAATTTGCTTGGTAATGTGAACTATTTAGTTTTTGTCCTTTGGTGAAATAGTTCCAAATTTCACCTTTTCTTCTCCCCTGCTTATTATTATTTAACATATTTTACTTTTGTAAAGATTGTATTAATAATGTGTGGTTAATAACATGTGATTAATAATGTGTGGTTATTAATGTGTGGTTATTAATTAGTTAATTAATAATTGGTTAACAAAATAAGTTAACTAGTTATTAACTGATTATTAAATAGTTATTAATTAGTTATTAACTGATTATTAACCGATTAGTAACTAGTTATTAATAACTTGGAGTTATTAAGTGTAGGGTTAGAAATTCCCATCACCACCTGCAGATCCTCCCATTGGCTGATCTGATAACTACAATTGACACGTGATACCACTACTCTTGCCAGGATACCTCTATTAAAATGTGTCCAAACAATGTTGAGAAGTCTTTCAGAAATCTTAGGATTTGGCAAATAAAGGTTTCGAGAATCAAAATTTTTTGACATAATTAAAAAGAAATATTTCAGGATTTCGAATCTCAATATTAATTTGAAATTCTAATTGATTGAAATCAAATTATTTTCGATTTC